CAGTGCAGGGAGTCATAAAGATTCATCCTCCTGAGTTCAAATCTAGCCTCAGACACTTAAACTGGTTGTTTGACCCTGGGCAAGTCACTTAACCCCCTCTGCTTCAGTTTCCGTATCTGTAAAATGAACTAAAGAAGGAAATGGCAAACCACTCCAGTATCTTTGCAGGAAGAGTCAGATATGACTAAAACAAATAAATAACAACTTGAGCTCAGGAGAGAGGTCAGGGCAGCCCTGAGATTTGGCAGCCACTTAAAAGGAAACGATAGCTGAAGATCAGGAATTGTGATTGTGTCATCTTTGACTCCTCTCCTCTACTCTACATCACCAGTTACCAAATCTTATCATTTTTACCTATATATTTCACATACATGCCCTTTTCTCCATTCACAAAGAGAACACTCTAGGATAATGCCTCATCACTGCCTGAATTTGCACCAGGAGTCTTTTTCTACTGTACTCCATCCTCCATATTGCTGCCAAAGCTATTTTCCTAAAGTATAGACCTGACCATATCACACCCTTTGATCAATAAATTCCAATAACTTCTTATTACTTCAGTGATCAAAAATAAATTTCTTTGACATTAATTTTTTTTTTTACGATATGGCCCCTTCTTATCTTTCTAATCTTTTTAAACATATAACTTGTTTTTGCAATCTTTAGTTGCATTGTCCCTCTTGCTGTTTCTCATGCAAAGTTGTGAGAGATGATCTCTCAAAAGTGAAGCCTCCTCAGATGATCAATAGTTCTGTTAATATTTCTTGATTATTGCTTTCAAAACCCTCCCCCTCTCAGACCCTGTTTTTAAGCACACAACAGAAAGAATAAGCCCTGCCCCAAACCCGAACTGCTTGCCCTTAGCTTCCCGCCTTCTCTTGTCTCTGGGATAAGGGGGATGCAGGTTAGGGAGGGGAAATTGCAGTAAATTTCAGTTTCCTAGGAATTACCTAACTCATGGGAATTTGGCTCTAAACCCCCTCCTGATCACCACACCACTTATATGTCAGCATTAGGTTTACTAAATGTCCTGACATGTATTTTTGGATTGGCTATACCCTGTTTCCTTGTTCTTTGTCTTTGAATTTTCATGCCTAGAATGTAAGCCCCATCTCTCAGCTAATGGGATAGGAAGATTTTCTTTCTCGCCTAGACTGTGAGCTCCTCAGCCCAGCCAATGGGAAGAAGAGCCAGTGGGGTGGTGGGGGGGATTGGGGATAGGATATATATAATCTGCTGAGCTGAACACACTTTCACTCTCTGTGGTCTGCAGCCATCTTTTGAGTGCCCTGAGGGAGCCCTTTCTTAAGAAAGCCAAAAAACAAACTATTCTTTTTGCTAATATCTCTGAGTTTCCAATTTATTGGTAAGGGTCTTCATACCCCACACACAGTGTTCCCTCTCTCCTCTGCCTTCACTCTATCCTAATCTTACCTTTAGAATTCTTGGCTTCCTTAATTCTCACTCTAAGCACCATGTTTAATATGAATACTTTTCCAGTATCCCCCAGAAGCTAGTGCCTTCCCCTCTGAAATTACTTTCTATCTATTCTCTATTTATCTTATATGTTCTATCTATGAACAGGTTTGTCTCTCTAATCAGAATGAATGCTTTTTGAGGGTAGGATGTGTTTTTGCTTTTTCTCTGTATTCCTAGCCCTTAATGTACTGCTTTGCACATAGTAAGCATTTAATCAATTCTAGTTGATTAGTTGTTATAAAGATAGGAAGAATCATATGGTCTCAACTCAATCTTATTTTAGAAATGAAGTTGGAGAAGAGGTGAGAGGACAAGGCAAGTGGGGGAACTTTTCCATCTAAGCCATGGTAGAAGGAAAAAGAACTTCAGCTTGTTGTCAGATACAACCCTTGGGATCTTTTCCATACCAAAGCTGTTTTGTATTTATAATAGATGCCTACCCACCCAAGTAGTAACAACAACAACAAACCTTTACATAGCACTTTAAGGTTTACAAAGCTCTTTAAGTATATTATCTCATTTGATCCTCACAACAGCCCTGTGAGGTAGGTGTTATTGCCACTGCCATTATATAGCATCCAGAGGCTGAAAAAGAGTCAAGAATTACAAAAAGTCACAAGGCTAGTTAGTATCTAAACCTAAAACAAGATTTAAACTCAGTCCTTCCTGACTCAAAGTCCAATGTTCATCCGGCAGTAACCAAATCAGTCAAATAACTGGTCATTTTAGTAGGAAAAGCAAAACCAACAACAGTCCAAGCTGCAATTTGGCATCAGGCAGAATAAAAATCATGTTTGATGTACAGAATGTCTCACTTTATAACCACTGTATCATCATCACACGGATTTACCATTGGTGAACTCTCTAGAGCTTACTCTTATGGATCTTCATTATATTGATTTCTTACAATTTTTCTGACTTAGCACCATCATTCCTATCCTTCCCTCTATCATCTGTCCTTAAACCTGTGGGCTAAAACAACTTAAGAAATAGACTTTTTATTTTATCACATAAATTATTTAAGCTGAGCTTTAAATCTGCAGAACTTTTCAGAACCGTACTCATTTGGTATTAATGTTCCCAAGAAATGGCACTCTTTATCCTTGGAAGTGCCAGTGAGAGCTAGGAGGCTCATCTCTATACACTCAGAAATGAGACAATCTTATTTTTAATTTTAATTAAATTTTTAATTGATTTTAAATTTTAATACTTGGTTTCCCAGAGTTCAGAGGTTATTCTTATTCTGGGAGGTTCACCGATAAAATAGTAACAGAGAAATATATATGTGGGGTTAATCTAAAACACAGGCAGGGCTCTCTTATTGGGTCTGAGGAATAATCAAAACCTATTTATTGTTAATGGCTTTCTTCGATAGCTCAAAACTGGTTTTTTTAAGTGTTCAGGATCTAAGGACTTTGACTTTTCCCATAGCTCTTCTCCTCAACTGAACTAATTCTTGAATGATAATCATTTTGAGGGAAATCTAGATGATCACAAAAGGCAGCATTGCAGAACATTGGGTTGGATGACCTGGGAATCAATCTCTACCATTGAAACATATTGGTTGTGTGATGGTGGATGAGACACTTAACCTCTCAGGGTTCTAGGCAATTCTCTAAGAAAATAAATTACAGTCAGAGAAGTTGCCCAATTTGCATATAAGAAAAAAAATTCTGCACCAAGAATTTCCTGTATCAGTATCATCATGAGATAAATAAACACATTTTAAATTGGAGAACTTAGGAATTATTTAATTGAAACCCTCTCCCTTCCATCCTGTCCTCATTTTACAATTGTGGAAATAGAGTCTGAGAGGAAAAGAAACTGGCCCAAGGTTGGATTTGTTCTTTGCTGTTCTTTCTTCAGGGTATGCAGTACCTTTTTCTTTCAATGAATCCTTATATAACATGTCTTGTGGTCTTTCACCCCCCTGATTGGCACCTGGTTTTGAAAAAAAAAAAACAAACCAGAGCTAGAATCCAAAGCCAGGTCATCCATCAACAAATCCATTTCTCTTCCCTACACTGCTTCCTATGTTTCCAAATAAATTCAAGCACTTGGTTTCTGTAAGAAGCTCTAAGTTCATAAATCTTAATTTTGCTCTAAGCTAAAAACCCACCCATTAATGATTTACTTTGAATCACTACTGAATCCATAGGGACTGGACCGAAACCTCCTTTAACCCAGCCCAGCCACTTCCCCAAAAGAAATTACTTGAAAAGCATAATTCCAGGTAATGGAAACTGGCCCCTGTAAGATGGCCTTTAAAACAGCTGCCTCATCATTAAGAAGTATTGTCACAGCTTCAAGGTTACCACCACATTTATCTAGAAGGGAAGTAGCTAAAAAGCTGAAGAAGAACAGGAAGAAATAAACGATTTTCATTTCAAAGCCAAGGTGTTTGAGGAGGGGAAAAAAGAATGAGGGCTGCATAACACTGACATTTTTATTAGAATTCATTTGTAACAAATGGAACTTGTGTCAGCAAAGAACTGATTTTCATACAGACGTCTTTCGCCACCAATGTAACGAAGTAAGAAAATAAAAAGCACGCCTTTCATTCTGTAAAACATTTACGCGTACTACTAATTAGAGGTAATTGTATTTTTTTTAACAAGCCATTTTACAAGTTATTTTTTTATTTTTTCAGTCTATGCATCCAAAACGAGAGCAAAGAACACAATTTTTATTATCTTTGTAAAGACACTCCAAGCTTGAATGGCAAAGCCACGGGACAGATGGAGAGGATGGATCTGCAGCCTTCTGATATCTGCTGGAGTATCAGGGCACCCAAAAACCCAAAGGAAACCAAAATTTGGAAAAGAAAAATGCATTGGGGGAGGGGAGAGATTGAAAAAGAGAGATCTAGAGAGATAAAGAAATAAAAACAAAACAAAAAAAGAAAACAGGAAAAGAAAAAAAAGCCACATTACCACTGCAGACTCTTCTTCCTCCTGTTTCCATGTTCTGTGTTATTTACATACACACAAGTGAATTTCAGAAGCAGTTTCTTACAGATGGGTTCAAGTAATAACATTATTGGGTATAGAATCAATAGGGCAGTGCATAGTACAAAGGTATAGAAAGTGCAAATCTCCCTAGAGGCCCTTCCCTCCCCCGGCTGTCCTCACCATTGTCTAACCATGCAAATCATTTTTAAAAAAGAGATAAAATAAAGTTCTGTACAAATCATTTTTATATATTTTGATTTTTTTTACCATTGTAACTAATTACAAAATTATACATAACTACACATACATAGGTAAATAATAGCACCGTACTGATTATGGTGATGAAACTAATTTTGAATCTTGGAGAATTATGAGAACTGTAGGTAAAGAAATTTACCTTGGAAATTAAAAAAAAGAGAGAGAATGGCTATACGGAAAAGTACAGAAAATGGAATGCACATCAATGACGCATTTAGGGTGCTGTCTTCAAAGACAACTTCCCGAACAGAAAGATTTCTGGAATAGTCTCCGCCTCTTTTGTCTGTGGTACTTTTCTCGTTCGTTTTGGTCTTGTGATTATTCTTGTCACTTGTTTTTACCAAATGGGCAGAAGTTTTCTGGAGAGACATTGCTCTTAGACTGACAGCTCTGGTGGGCAATGGTCCTTCCGATTCTACATTTCCAAAATGGTGTGTTTCCATGATGCATGTCTGGCTGACTCCCTATGTTTGGCTAAAAGAACATTACTGCACTAAGTTATCTGGCACTTTTAATAACTCATCAAAAGATACAAATTAAAAGAAAACACAACAATAAAACCACATAGTGCACATTCTTCTCTGGTTCTGATGTAGGTTATAGAGTCTCATTCTGAGGTAGCCTTCTAGATACTTTTTTTTATTATTATTATTATATATATATTTTTTACAAAAGTGCTCAAATACAATGCTTGCAAGTGTTTGGTCTCTTGGATTTCTTTCTGCTAGCAATGGGAAAATATGGAAAAAAATAGCCTTATATGTGGAATACACATGCAGTTAAACTCAAACTGTGGTATTATACTTATACCGAACCTCTTTCAGAGTTCCTTGGAAAAAAATTTTTAAAGAGTTGCTCAATATGGTACAGGACAAGGCAGAAACCAGTACTGTCCTCCATGGCTTCCTACATATTTTCTAGGAAATATTTGATGATGTTTGGTGGGCTTTTCCTCCTACTTAAAAAATCCAAATGCAGTGCTGATGATGCTCTAAAGGTTGCCAATGATGTGTTTTTCCTTAAAACAAATACATCTAGTGCAGTACTCCATGTTCCCAATATCAATACTGGCATTACATGACTCAGTTCTGAGAGCAGATTTAGAAGGGACTGTTTGAAGGGAATTAGTAGCCTTGCTTGATGTAGGGAATTATGGAAGGAAATAGGGCCCTGACTATCTAAGTGCTTTGGGCTGGTATATTCACTCATTAACATCCCCTACTCAGGTGAAATCTAGGAATGCATTATTACTCAAAGTATTTTTTGTACATGTGCTAAAAAGATAATGCTTTAATTGGAAGGTTAACAGATATGAATAACTAATGTAAATAGAAACAAAAAGCGAAAAAGAAACGCTATTAAAATAGGCATCAATTATAAGGCACTCTAAATGCAAAATTAAAGTAAAAACCAGCATTTTCCAGGAATGCTGAATGCCACACAATGTTTCTGACTGAACAGAGCAACATGAGTTTGGCTTTGCCCCTGTTACATATCATAAATGCAAATTTCGTAGCACATACTATAGACAATATACGATTGAATACACTTTTTTTAAAACAACTTGATAGTTGATATATTACAACATTCTCCCCTCCTAAAGGGATATGCACTGACCTTTCCCACATGCACACCTCTTATTTAATATTTAATAATATGATTTTTATTGCACTAGAGGGTTACAAATATTGAACTTCATTGGAAGCCTCACTAACAAAATGTTACTTGAGTATGAGTATGAATTTGGGGGGTGGGGCAAGGACTTAGGGGTGAGGTTTGACGACCACTGATGTGCATTCCTCATTTCCCTTAAAACCAAAGTTTTCTGAAATTCAGTAATGTAAAAATGTAAAAAAATATAATTGAATGCGGTGTTCTAGATACCTTGTCCACCACTTTAAAGAAATCAAATTGTGGAAGAACTAATAGCTATCTCTGTATTCATGAGAGGATACACTATATATACATACATACATATACATCCATGAGGAATGGATCTATATATATCTATATATATATCTATATGTTAGCAGCAGCTTTATACTTTGCGCCTCCCTGTTGATTCCGAAAAGGAAAGAAAAACAAACAAAAAAAGAAAGGCAAAACCCAGACCCCTCACTTGGATTATCCAATTAAAATGGGTACTTCCTTGTACAATGAAACTGAACAGAAGTATAAAAGTAATATCTGACAAGACTGTGGTACTGTAGATAAATATAGGACTGCACAAAAATGTGCAAATTTTCAAATTATTTAATATTTCTACAGCAAGATATTACAGATAACAGTTCTACTGCTTAAAAAAAATCTAAGATTTTGAAATAAAAAATGAAGTTATGCAACTTTTGTCTTTAAATTCACTTCACTGAATAATAACCTTTTGTTAAAAAAAAAGAGGAAAGAAGTTTACACAGTTAAAAATGAAGCACAGGTCAGCAGTATCTTTACAATACTAAAAAACTAAATCAAGGACTTTCTTTTTAAACATTCCCCCCCTCCCCTTTCCCCTAGAGTGTTATTATGAGCAGTATGGTGGGAAGGGGTGATGTTGAAGCAGAGTCCATTGGTGTGTTTGTGGTTGTGGTTGATGTTGCTGTAGTTTAAGAAGTCCAGGAAGTGGCCTGCTTAACAAACATCTTGTCCTGAATTGCAGGACTCTCCAGATTTCCCCTTTCATGCAATCCGGGACAAGATGATGGTTCTTTGCAATAATTTCCTCTTCCCTTTAATTTCAACCAAAGTTGAATCCTTAAGGTATCTGTAAATGAAATCCTTCAGATGCCTCACCAGTCAGGATTCTCTTTATTATTTTTCTGGTTAGATTATTAAACTGTGAATTCTTGGTCCACATGGAATAGTTTTTTATTTGTTTTTTTTTCCTTTGTTTTTGTTTGTTTTGTTTTTAGTATTCCCACTGATTGGTCTTTAGCTAGAAGTTGCGAAGTCCTTCTCCAGCATGGTGTATGGCTCAGAAGAGGCTCTCCAGATCTTAAAAGGCCTGCAGTAAAGATCCAGGTAGGGGCAGGGGATTTTACGTTGCATAGTGATCAAAGCTGCCCAGGTATTCTAGTGCAGCACGGTAGCAGAACTGATACTGATCCTGAAAGAGAAGAAGGTGAGGAGAACGAGAATGTAAAGAAGGCATGAGGCTCTGTTCTTTTACCAAAACCCAGCTTTTTAATGGAGGAGAGAAAGGACGAAGCAGGGGTACTTAAGAAGCCAAAACAACCAATCAATTCAATCAATGCAAATAATCAATCAAGTAAGTAAGTAAAGTCAGCTTCTGTTGCCTGAATGAAGCAGTCAGTTCAAGTAAAACACTTAGTGACCAAGTGATCCTGGACATGTGGCTTTACCGCTTCGAGTCTCAGTTTCCTCATCTGTAAAATAGGGGTAACCATAATAATAGTACAGGTTTGAGAAGTAGGGTGCCACAGTGGACAAGAAGAAAGCCTTGGGACCCAAGACAGATCAGGATTCAAGTTCTGCCACTGACTTTTACTGATGGGGTGGACAAAGGCAAGTTATCTAGACCTTTTAGTGCCCTCAAAAAACTCCAAGATACAGCTGAGTTATCGATTTGCATAGGTAGAAGAGGTTTCCATACTGGGAGTTCTCCCAGACTAAAGAAGCTCAGGGTCTAGACAAACATCATCAGCATCAGCATCTTCGTTACTGCAATATAATGTTGTTTCATAAAAAACTTAGGAACAACATTTTTAATAGATTTTCCATACAAAATACTAAGTACAGAATAAGGAAACAATCCTAGTAGGAGAAATCACATGGGAATTGGGTGAAACACACATCATCCTGTCTGCTATGGAAGTTGTCCCCAAGATGCTTTCCATGAGCCTAGCACAGATTGGTGTACATTCCAACAGTTCTTCTACTTAATTCTAAAAGTGCTGTTAGCTACACATGCAAGAGTCTACCGAATATTAAATGTAAAACAATAGCAAGATAGCGACGTCTTTGAGAACCATTTCTGTCTGAACTCCACCAAAAAAGATGAGAAGAGATAATAACAATAACATAAGAATGATACAAAAATTATAATGTAACTTTCACCTTTGGAAAATGCTTTACTTATGTTAATTCAATTTATGAGATGATGAGACAAGAGATCTTGTTGTATGAAGATGAGCAGAAGAGATGCAAAGTGTTTAGGTAGAGAATAGAAGACCTTTTAAAGACATGATAGCTGTATTTGAAAGGCTAGCTGTGGCAAAGAAGTGGGAAGAAGACTGGCCTTGGGGCCAGAGCAGCTGCATTTAAATCCTGCCTCTGATTCTCCTACCTGTGTGACCTTGGGTAAGAATCTTAATCTCTCTCAATTTCTTCATTTGCAAAACAAGGGATTTGGAATGCATGGCCTATAGTCAATACACAAAAGCACCTACTATGTGCCAAGCATTGTGCTGATCACTAGGGGTACAAAAAGAGGTGGAAGTAGCCTTTGCCCTGAAGGAGCTCACAATCTAATGGGGGAGACAGTTAGTCAACAAATATGTAGAAAACTTACACAGGAAAAATAGGAAATAATTCAAAGAGAAAGGAGAGGCTTCTTTTAGAAGATGGGATTTTGGTAGGTACTTGGAGAAAGCCATGGAAACCAGAAGGTAAAGATGAGGAAGGAGGGCATATCAGGGGACAGACAGCTAGAGAAAATGTTCAGAACTGAGAGGTGGAAACGTCTTGTTTGAGGCACGGCGATGAGGCCAGTGCACTGGATCAAAAAAATATGTGTCAGGGAATAAGATGTCAGAGGACTGAACAGGCATGTGGGTGGGTAGGTTATGAAGAACTCAGAATACCAAGCAGAGGGTTTTATATTTGACTCTGGAGGCAACTGGGAGCTACTTGAAATTACTGAGCAGACAGATGGGGTGTGGAATAGTCAGACCTGTGCTTTAGGAAAATCAGTTTAGTGGCTGGATGGAGGATGAACTGGAGTGGAGAAAGACTTGAGGCAGGCAGACCCATCAGGAACTGTTGCAATGATCCAGGTGTGAGAAGATGAGCGTCTGCACTGGACTACTGGAAATATCAGAGGAGAGAAGGGGGAATATTTGAGAGATGCTGCAAAGGTGAAATTGACAGGTCTTTGCCACAGACTGGAAATGGGGTGGGGGGGCAGGTGAGAGACAGTGAGGAGTCAAGGATGACCCATGAGGTTCCTTCAGGCTGCCAATCATGACTCCATGATGCTAATTCTACTTGGTTCTGTACAAGGAAGAAGTAGGGACAATGTGTGGGTACAAGATGTAGACAGATTTAGGATCAATAAAAGGGAAAAATTCCTAACAATTAGAACATCCAAAATTGGAATGGTTTGTCTTAGGAGGCAATGGTTTTCCCATCGCTGGAGGGTTTCAAGCAGAGGTCTGGTGTCCAGTTATTAGTGATACTGTAGAAGGGATTCCTGTTCAAGTAGGCATTGGATTGGGCAGAGTGGAGCTGTGGAAAGAGGACTAGATAGGGGATCAGAGACCTGGGTTCAAACATCAATTTTGTCATTTACTATCTGTATGACCTTGGTCAAATTCTTTAACCTTTCTAGGCCTCAGTTTCTTTGCTATACAATGGATTAGATGCCCTTTAAAGTCCCTTCTCACTCTAAATCTATCATCCTATCACCTCCACGATTCTATAACCTCAAGTCCAGCCAAAAAACCAGATTCATTTGTCTTCTGTGTTACTTCAAACAGACTGCAAATCACAAAACAGAGTTCTTATTGGGAAAGAGGTACCATGATGCCTATAAGCAAAATCTCCAGTCCCCCTTTTGATGCGCATACATAAATGAATGAGGCTGCTGGAAACCAGTGAGCATGGGATAACAGGCCTTGGGAATCATTTGTACTATGGCCTGGACCTTCCACGCCCTCATGGAAAGGCATTTCATTTTATTCAATCTAGATCGCCTTGAAAGGGCTTCTGGCGATCGGCTGCCATGACACAAACAATCTGCTTCATTTCACACAATACAACTAGAGGTCTGTATCATAAAGACCTGAATGAAAATAACACAGAGCATGAAATAATCCTGATTTGGATGAGGAAGAAAACGGTTATTTCAGGGAGGGCCAATGAATTACAGTAGAGAGGGACAAAGGCTCTTGCTCCAGGCATAGCAATAGACAAATAAATAAATGAAATAATAAAAGCAAGATTTTTTTCAATAAACTTAAAACATATTTCCAGGAACCAATGGGGCTGAAAGTGAATATCTTTCATTTGTTTAAATGTACATTTATTTTGTACAGTAAAAATGGTCATGCAAAATAAATGGAATTCACTTCTCAATTTTGTCACTGTGAGTTAGTTACTTGGTTAAGTGGACTTATGACTGTTCTAATTTCTTTTTTCTTCCTTAAATTCCTTAGGCTGTTTAAATAATTTTTCATTTCTCAAGCCAGATTCTGGTACTGCCATTGCATCCTGTGTGAGGGACTATCTGGTGGATATTCTCCAGACAATTATAATGAGACATTTTCTTATAAACATTTCCTTCCAAGCATTATTCTTCACATCATCTTTTGAGATAGTAGGGCCAATAGGTCAGGCTGACTAAAACACCATTTAATGCCATTCTATGAGTCATCAAATCATCTGCATATATACTAGTAGGCTTGAAAATGAGGGGAAATAGAAAATTCAGGGGCTTATACAGTACAAAACATGACTATAAAGTCATTAGAGATGGGGAATGGAGAAAATATACTTCCTTCACAGAATCAGTGCTGAAATGAGACACTGTAATCAAAATGCTTTGCAAACTCTGAAATGCTGTAAAATTGTAGCTTCTGTTATCATTATTATCCCCATCATCATCTTCTTCTTCATCTTAATCTTCCTTTTTTCCAACAGGGTTCAGAGAGAAATGGTCTTTTGATAATTTGATGGTATCTTGATAAATTTTGATAATATCCTGCTGTAATTATTTATTTATCATTATTGCTCTACAGATTATTGCAGAAGTGGCTAAAATCATATTTTATTTTGTTATAAGCTGAGTTAAAGCATTGGAATGTAGAAAGCTCATCCTCAGTGTAGCTGGTATAATAACAGTGGAACACAGACAAAGAGAGATGATATCTGTGCCTCATCCTGTTCCCCTAGGATGATGGTCTCCTCTTCTGGATCTTTATAGTTTGAAAGGTTTTTATTCCATTTAGCTTGGAGATTATGGATGACAGTATGTCCATGTCTATTAAAAACACTGTTCTCATGATTGGGAGAAGTATTTCTGTCTCTGATAATGGCCTATTTTCAGTGCAGTTTAGTGGTGAAACTCTCCTGGATATTTTCAGGTCTAGATTTGTATAATGGGGATCTCTCACCTTTCAGTGCATAAGAGATAGTGAACTTCTGATGTATAATTTGAGATACTAGATCATGTCTTGCTAGGTATTTGACAGGCGCTACATTTTTATTATAGCCTTCAGTGGCATGTTGCAGTATCTACAGTTACCTTGCATTTCCCCCCGGCCCCCCAGGACAACCCTTCTGTAATTGCTGCTGGCAATGACCTGGTCCTGAATTGTCATGAAAAAAAAAAATCTCTGTTTTCACAAACAAATCCACATGACTTATCCATTGCTTTGAAGCTTTTCTGTTGACATACTATTGATTCTGTTCATTCATGCAGATATCAACCGTGGTTGGGTCTTTTGATTCTAACTCAAATCTCAGTCATTTCATAGGCTTTATCCGGAAGCAAAGCACTTTTAAGTTTTATTTATTATCTCAGTTTTCTCATCTTTTTCAATGAGGTTGAGATAAAAATCACATTATTATTTTAAAAAATGTGTCAGATATGCCACCGAGAATCCAAAATGATATACATCTAACCAGAACACCACTGGGTGGTGTCTGTTGCAAATGTCTCCTAAGTGTCATTGGCTTTCTTAAAGTGAAGACAAAAGCTTGTTTCTTGTGAGATTTGACACCACCTGTCTTCCCCAAATGCAGATTGACTTTACTCACCTCTGTCTGTACCATGGCTGGCCTTTGTGTCCTTAGCATTTTGACAGTCTGGAAGATATCTACAACACCTTCATATCTCATTCTTTCCAATACAATGCTCAGTGTTATAAAGACACCTGTTCTTCCAACACCCGCACTGTAACAAAAATAGAGTACAAGGTTAACCAATGGGAAACTCTTAGATGTTGTCACTTATTTTAGAGGTAGATATAACACTTATCACATCAATTTCTTCAAACCAGAGAAGGAGGTCTTCACATGAAGGCCTGAAAGGCATGAAAACTTTGCATGAAATTCAATAGGTCCTTGCAAAAAAAAAAAATTCAACAGTGACTGTTCTTGGGCAAATGCAAAATGATGCTTACATGTAAGAATAAAGGACATGTGATTTCATCAGCATAGAAAACTCTTTATATAAGAAAAATTTCCAAAAACATATACCTCAATTTGTCCATGATTTAATAGATAAGTCCTTTTAGTTACCTGAGGCATATAGAGGTAAATTAACATGCCCAGGGTCACATATCTAATAAGTGTCAAAGCCTGGATCTGAATAAATATCTTACTGATTCCATGCCTCACAAGTTATCCAATATCCCACGTTGCTTTTTATATCGGGTAACAGTGATTAAATACTCTGAAGTACAGCAACCTTATGAGAGTCACATTGGGTCATTCTGAAATAACTCAGCAATTTTTAAAAGCTGCAATACAATTAGATGGCAGCCAGTAAACATCAAATGGAGAATTCAATATGTCATTCTTATAGGCTGTATCTGTGGACCCTGAAATTACAGCACACTTGATTATTCAGTGTTTTAAAACTAGAACTGTTGGTAGTTCAAATAAGGAAATAAGGGTGATGACTGCCATCAGGATATCTTGGCTAGTACTTAATTTCTTGGGGGAATCTACTTTTGTATGAGGCAGGACACACACTTACACTTACCCATACACACACATCTTCATAATACACATAACCATCACACCTACGTATGAAAAAAATAGCCAAGGACATAGAGTGAACAAAATTCACTGCTGATTTTGAGGAGGAGGGAAGGGGTATTTCATAGGAATTAAAACACCAGAATGCTCTTCATTGTGTGTACAACATTTTTTTGGTATTTTCTACTTTACCCACTCCTCTTTTTTTTCCCTCATTACTTTAAGACAACTCTTCAGAATCTTTCCAGAAGCAAGAGAAGGAAATTAATTCATAGCTGTACTCTTAAGAAGCAAGGAAGCATCTGGAGGCTTAGGTAATGAGGAAAACAATGAATAATATGAAAAATCTCTACACTTTCAGATACTAATTAAGCAGCATGTGTAACGCTTGGGTACAGTCTGTAGAAAACGGATGGATTCATTTACTTTGGGTTGTAGCTGAGGAGCATATACAAATAGTGTGGCATCTCTTTGTGAGAGCTCTTTCTAAAGAGTTGAAACAGAAATGTTAAGTGATGCTTCTAATTGGCATTCTTTCAAAAGTAGCCTGCTCTGATGACTGGTAGATGGGGCTTTTCTGTTAAGAAAGGCTAATTGATCATTTCCTGAATGATCCAGATGGGTTAAGAGAATGATGATACTACAACTGAGTAACCCTCACCTTAGTTTTGGCTGCACAGATATCGCTGCAGTATTTCAGGCTTTCCTCCTAGGCACTGAGTGACCTATTTAATTAACTAGTTAATTTGTATGTTAAATTTAGGTATAAATAATAAAAGCTTAGTAGCAATTTCTGGGAATATAAAGTTCCTTGAAGGCTGGAATTGTTTTTTTTTCCCTTTGTATTCTTAGGTATTAGTTGAGAGTAAGTGTTAGGGATTGGCTACACAAATTGTGCTACATGAATGTAATGGAATATTGAGTGAAATGCAAGAAACGAGGAATTCAGAAAAGTAAATGAGAAGCTATACAAACTGATGCAGGATGAAGTAAGCGATACAAAGAAAACAATATGTACAACATCTGCAACATTATAGGAAATAATAACAAAAAAAAAGCAGAGTCGAAAATTGCCTAATTAGAATGGCCAAAGTAGGCCCTGGAGAGGAGTCAAGGAGTCCCTCCTTCCTTGCAGATTTGGGGGGACTATAGATGTGGCACACCAATTATACTGTCAGACAGGGTTAGTGTGTTGTTTAAGTTTTGTAGAACTGACTTTTTCTCTTTTTCTTTTAAAATTTTAATTGTAAGAGAAAGTATGCTGGGTACAAGAGGAATGATGAATGTATTCAGAAATAAAGGTTATATAAAAAAACAAATGATATCAATAACAATAAAAGATAAACATATTTTAAAAATAAATGCTTATTGGATTGAATTCCTGTGTCTCTAAGACACAGCCTATGAGTCTCTAAGACCTATTCACATTATAGTGTAATAGCATAAATGATAATTATAGTGCCTAAGAAACTAAAGAACACATTAGTCTGAAGACACTGAACGTCTTTAAGAATCAAGTATAAGTCAAATCAGAGATTTTGATAATAATACAACAAATCATCAAATTTGGTGATATCAAAGGTAGGTCAGATAACAGAGCCAAGGGTCAAAATGATAAAAGAATGTTGAGGCAATTATCCAGAAAAATTTTTAAAAACTGAACTGGTCAGTTTTTCTGTCAATTTTGATTAAATCCAGTGTAAAACTACCTAGTCCTTCTTATCTCTTTGATTGTGTAGAGATAAACAAAAGATTTCTGAGTAACTGGACTAGGAAGCAAAACACTCCAATAAAGCAGGTTTGTCCTCATGATATATTATGTTTATTCTGCCAAAAACGATGTCTTTATGGAACAGTATTAATATGCAAAATACTGATTGAATCTGAAAAAAACATTGAGATTAAAACCTAAAGGTTCCATGTTAATGGAAACTTAAAGTATAATATAAATTGAATAAAATAAGACTCCTTTGATGCAATGTTTTAGTGCACAAATCTAAAAAAAGTACCATGAATAACCTTTCCAAATAGCTTCTTTCCCTTTTTTTCATGAATTCAGATAACTCAAACTAGAAAATGCTATGGAAACTATTAGAAATAATTAACTAGGAGAGACTCCATTTTCTGGTATAGTAACAGTTTTCAATTTGACAGTCAATGTAACTGGTAAAGTATTCAAATTGTACAACTAGCCCATTAATGGGCAAGAAATGCAGTGATCATTGTAGAGTGATTGCTTTTTATGATTACTCCTGAAAGATATTTGTTAGTGATGCTATATTAGGATGAAAGGATATGGGACCATGTGAGTTAAAAAAAATTATCAAAATACAAATCAGTAGAGCTTGAAAGGAAAAGCCTAACCCCACTTCTTGTTCTATGCATAGTCTTCTCAGATAAAAAAAAAAAGTACTTTTCAGGAATCTTCCTATTTCACCAGAAGATAGAGGAATAGGTCACTGCCTTTACTTTCTAATACATAATACATTTTCAAGAGTTTAATTGTAAATTCACTGTAACCATCTGGCTAATACTCATATATATTAGGCACAGGCTCTTATTTTTAAAGGTAATCATGCTTTTGATCATAAAAAAAGAAAATTAATTTATCACTGATTCTCAACTTACCTGCAATGGACTGAGATAGGCCCATCTTGTCCAAACTGCTCTTTTGTTTTATGTACTTGGCCAATGAAGTCAATGAACCCCTCTCCGGATTTTGGCACTCCTTGCTCTGGCCAGTCAGTGAACTGGAATTGCCTCACTGTTCGGGACTGACCATCCTTTAGAGGCACCATGTGCCAGAAGAAGAAAGGCCCAGGATGATTCCATGCCATGGCAGCAGTCACAAAAAGTTAATTATTTGGTAAAGAATAAGGGGTGGGAGGAGAAAGGAAGAGAGTTAGGAACATATTTAATTAGAAGCATCTAATCACAATTCCTGATGAGTTTGAGCTTTTGCTCAAACAATCAATGACATACCTGGCTCACATATGTAAGAATTCAATTTCATTAATCATTATCACTTTCAGTTACACATGTTAAACTCCCATTAAACACGCAGGTTGTCACTCAGCTTTGTGACTTTCCCTTTCTAACTGAAATCAGTAGATCATTTTGGCTGTAAGCCTAGAGAATGCAGGTTCTATATGAAGCAAAACATGCATTCATATTTCTCTAAGCATGCACACCACTAAAAAGTGTCAAAATCTAAGTGCAGATGCAGGTCTGTCACATATTTATAGCCAGAAGAACACACACCCCAGAAAAAAGATTTTGTCGATGTCATTACAATCCCAAATAAGCTGGGCCTGCTCATTTTCTAGTTTTGTCAAACTGCAAATGGTGACATTTAAAGGATTTGACACAAATTAAGTAGCTGCTGTTAACCTTCATGCCTCCTGGACACCCCACACATCTTGAAGGCTTCCTGTGTCCAGCCATGACAGAATAAAAAGCATATGCTATGTCACTGTGCCTTTAAGCAGGAAGTGAGGCATCTTTCAAGGAGAGAAAAGAGAGCATCAGCAACTAAACGCTCTGTCCTGAAAATGGACTTCTGCAGGGCTGACCTCATGAATCAATCACCCATTGCTCCCTGGATAAAGAATGTGGAAGAAAACAGCCAAATAAACAAACAAACAAACAAAGGCAGAATGAAAACTAGAGGAAAAAGGAGTTTTTCTTCTCCACAATGATTAAGCATGATTGCTCTGACATTTGAAATATAGGTCACTTTAAAAGATAAGAAAAAAGGTTTCTTCTGTTTCCTTCTGGAAATTTTCCTTCTCTCTCTCTCTCTCTCTCTCTCTCTCTCTCTCTCTCTCTCTCTCTCTCTCTCTCTCTCTCTCTCTCTTGAACTACTGCCTTCAAACCTTCAGAGACAGTAATAGGACTGATTACTTCTCAGGAAATCTAGCTACCTTTGCACAGGAAGGAATACGAAATGCATTTGTTGCCTTCTCACTACCACTATTTGGGGATTAGGAGGCAAGGGAATGCCTTTCAAAACCTGTGCAAATGAGTGAAACTTTGTTTGTGAGGGTCATCCTAATTTTGAGGCCCAGGTATGTATAGGCATCCTGGATTTCCCAGGATGTAGGCAAGATGCAATGCTGATAAATGTTTTTCCTTTGGCCTCAGTGCAAGGAGGGTAGCTTGAAGAGAGATGGCAATGGATCAGCAAAGCTGACAATTTCCACAGGAACCAGATGTGAAGCATGCTTCAGTAGCTGCCTGGAGTGATTAGGGAAGCTCCATCAGCTAGGTAAGAAAACTAAAAAACAGGGAACTAACCATTTGGCCTAATATCAACTGATGGTGAGTTCCTGCAGGAGCCCAATTTCCCCTTCATTGTTTCGGGAGTAACGAATGCTCTGGTTCCCTTGATCATAATGTTAAATTTACAAAAGGGTTTGAAAGCACAAGAAAGGAGGCTAGGTAATATATGGTAATATTTGTTCTCTCTTGGACAACCTGGGGATTTAGTTCCTGACTACTCTTCCTACTAATGGCTAGAGGAACCATATGAGTAAACCTTTACACTATGGAGGAGAAATCACATGACACCATTTAAAGGTTACCTGTTTAATAATATTGCAGCCTTGAAAGCCAACATGCTTTATAAATACGGAAGTTCAGATTAGAAATAGCAGGAATAAAAACAGAAAGTACTGGAGCAGCTATGAAAGATGTAAAATCCTGGGAATCTCTTTTTGAAATGTGAGGAAATGTTTTTCTTTTATATTATTATTTTTAAATTTTTATTTTTAATTTTTGGAATGAAACAAGCATTTCCATAACATAGTATAATAAAATAGATGATTGCCCGTGAAACTGCAACTCTATTATGTACAACTTGCTATTCCTTTTAAATATTTAAGAAAATTATCATGTGAGGAAATTTCAACGTAATCTCTTTTACTGATGTCACCTGGGTTTGCTTTGAGCATGACTAGATTTGCCACTGAGGGGAAAAGACAAATATTTTTTATCTTTGGGGCTCTGGTTCATATTCCTTTGTTGATTAGCACCTCTAAATATATTCCACCTCTAAAATGACTTCCACTTATAAACATTTTCTAATTTTGAAAGGAAGCATGGAAATTTTATAATAGTATTGAAGAGTTACCAAGGCTTTGGGCAAAGACAATGATATTAACAGTGAACACTTCTATATCTTTGAAGTTTACATAGGTCTTTATATGTATGCATTTATGTATGCATACAAACATTTATGTATATCTATATATACGTACACCTATATATACGTATACGTGTGTGTTTGTGTATATATATATGTATATTTATTTACTTATTTATTTGTTTGTTCGTTCATTTATTTACTTATTTGTTTGTTTATTTATTTATTTATTTATTTATTTAAAATTTGATTTCCACAATAGACCTATTGGGTACATAGCTTAAATGTTATCATCCACATTTTACAGATGGGGAAATGAAGACTTTGGAAGTTAAATGACTAGACTAAGATCATATAACCAGTGGCAGGGTTGGAACTCAAACTCAGGTCTTCTGAATCCAAGTCCAGTGACTATTCCATTGTACCAGATGGTCTTTCTCAGACCAAAGTGAATGCAGTAGCTGGTTCAAATACAGTCAATTTCAGCACAGTTAAGATTTTAAAGTTTCTGTGACTCAGTGATCCTGTTAACTTGGGTCAACAAAATTGCTGAACATTAAGAAAAATTATTAAAAAAAATTCCTCAGGTCACGTAAGCATATTGGTGTCCCCTTGTAATCCCTGTTACTGGAGGAGGCTGAGACTGATGGGTCATTTCACCTTGGGAGTTCTGAGCCACAGGAGAACTAAAGCTAATTGGGTGTCTGCACCAAGCCTGTCATCAACATGGTGAGCCCCTGGAAGTGGGGTGATCAAAAGCTGCCTGAGCAGAAAACTGCTTAATTCTGAAATGGAGCAGGTCAAAGTTTCCTTGCCTGTCAGTAGTGGGACTGGGAATCTGAGTGGCATTGAACTTTCAGCCTGAGTAAGATAGGGAGGCCCAGTTTCAAAAACAAAGGCAGCAAACAAACAAATAAAACAAAAACAAAGATAACTTTGGTTCAGACTCAGAGCCAGGTTTGGGGGATTAGGAGACAATCTTCTAGCATGATGATTGGTTGAGAGATTTGCTTTCCAGGAAAACAAACAAACTAACATATTAAATAAAGCACTCTATCCTGGTGTTCTAGTTCACTATCCTACTGTAACAATCCCAAAGACACAGCAAAGCTTTGGAGTGATTCTGCTGCCCTATAATGCCACTTTGAAGTCATGATTTGGAAATGGCCAGACAGAACATCTCACAGACAGTAGAGTCTTAGAATCAGTCTTAGATAAGAAATGAAAAGTAAAAATTAGACAGCCAGGGTCATGCATGGATGCATAGTTCTTGTGGATAGACATGCCAGGGAGCAAATTAGAATGTGCAAAGACTGTCAGCTTTTTAAAAGAATGCTATTTGCTCTGCAGTTTTAAAATCAGACCAAATTAACCTTCCTGTTCACATGACCTACAGGGTTTTGCAAAACAACAACATATTTATAGCCATAAGTGATGAAAAAGGCAAAGAAAGCTCCAAAGAGAGCAAGAGAAGGTGAATGGAAGTACAACCTTCCAATCAGTAAATGTTTTCCAGCACAAACACCTTTAAAGTGCAATCCCACACTTGTGCTGCCAGATGTTAAGTCTGAAATAAAGCCAACCCCTGGTTTTCGTGTAGAGTTAGTCAAAGAGAGGACAAGTTACCATAAAAAGAAAGAGGAGAAGAAAGAAGGAAATTAAGAAAGAAGAAAAAGAAGGGAGAGAGACAGAGACAAAGAGAGACAGAGAGAGACACAGAGACAGAGACAAAGAGAATAGAAGGTGAGAAAAGAGGAAAGCAAACTGGATGAGACCTTGTTAACTTACCCTGGCATCTGTGACCTTGAATTCCCTTAGGATATACTGTGGCATATTGTACTCAGCCATTGGGTCTACCACAAAGTATTGATACCTCGCTGAACGTTCTGCAGGCCAATACTGGTGACATTTTTCCTAAAAGAAAGAGAGGTTATTTAGATAACCCTAAATATACTAAATGGCCATTGAAGGGCATTTTTATAATCCTGTCTCTTTAAAGTAAATTCGGAGTGTGTAGACATGGGCAAGGTACAGCCAAAAAAAAAAGCAACTACTTCCATTTCCTCACAAAATCAACTCACTGGTTTAGAGAACAACTGATTAACAACTTGAAACAAATGAGATTCTTTAAGACAGTGTGATGAATCCCTTGACAATGCTGCGAAAAACATGATCCTTCTGGTGCTCAGCTCTGGTACTACCTTCTACATGAGGTATCTGCTTATCTGCACACACTCATTTCCTCCCATAGAATAGAAGGTCCTTGAGGACAGGGACTGTTTCATTTTTATGTTTTTATCCCCAGAACCTAACAAAGTGACTAGCAAATGATTGTCGAATTGTACTGAACAGTTCCAGCAATGCTTAGCTTGATGTTACAATTCAGACCAAATGCAGTCATACGGGGGGGGGGGGGAAGGAATAAGTATTTATATAGCACCTACTACGTGCCAGGCTTTACAAATATTATTTCACTTGATCCTTACAACAACCCTGGCAGCTAGTAGCTATTATTATCCCCATTTTATAGTTGTGGAAACTGAGGCAAACAGAGGTTAAGTGACTTTCCCAAGGTCACACAGCTAGTAAGTATCTGCAGCTGGATTTCAACTCAAGTCTTCCTGACCTCAGGCCCAGTGCTCTATCAGCCATCTAGATGTCATAAAATGTTAGAGCTATAAGGGATCTTGGAACTCATCTAATCTAATTCTCTCATCTAAGAGATGATAAATATAGACATTTATACATTTTCTTTGGAACCTCAAATGATCCCTATGAAATAGGTCCTATAGATATCATTATATCTATATTTATATTTACAAGCACTGATGTTCAGAAATATTAAATGATTAGCCCTATGTCATAGAGATAGTACTTGGCGAAGATGGGAAATGAACCCAGTTCTATGTATCTTCAAGTTCTAAGTTATACTGTATTGACTCTTCAGTTGAGGAAATCCAAAGAGACTGTGGTTGGCTCAAGCTTAAACAGAGAGTGTAGTGGTCAGTCAGAATGTCAATAAACATTTATTAAGTACCTACTATGTGCCATGTACTGCTGAGTACTGAGAATACAAAGAAAGGCAAAAGACATCCCTGCCCTCAAGGAGCTCACAATCCAGTGAGGGAGATTACATGCAAATAACTATGTACAAATAAGGCATAGCCAGAAGAAATTAGAAATAATTGGCAGAGGGAAGGCACATTTTAATTAAGAGGGGTTGAAAAAGGCTTCCTGCAGAAGGTGGGATTTTAGTCGGGAATTGGAGGAAGCCAGGAAATGGGATAAGGAGAGAGAGCCTGGGTGACAGCTCAAGAAAATGCCCAGAATCTTGTCTGAGTCAAGATTGGCCTTCACTGTCTAGTGCTCCTTCGACTACACTGATTTTTGCACAAAGCAGACTGACATCTGGGCAGCTAGAAGGAGCAGTGGATAGAGTGCCGGGCCTGGAGTGAAGAAGACTCCTCTTCCTGAGTTCAAATCTGGTTTCAGACACTTACTAGCTGTGTGACCCTAGGCAAGTCATTTAACCCTGTTTGCCTCAGTTTCCTCCCTTGTAAAATGAGCTGAAGGACATGGCAAACCACTCCAGTATCTTTGCCAAGAAAACCCCAAATGGGACCACAAGGAGAGAGACATGGCTAAAAAATGACAAAACAACAAGACTCACATCTACCAAATTATATGGAAAACTGTGTACTTCTTGCCTAACCTGGCAAATTTGAGAGGAGATGGAAAGGGTATTACCAGGCTGAGGAAAGGCTTGACTTAATGGATGCATTGATGATAAACTCAGCTATCAAGATCTCCATGCAGGAATCTTCAATTTAAAAAAAAAATTTATCTACCTCTGTTGCTAGACCACATCATTATACAATTTAACAGCACTAAATATTCTCAGCTTATTCAAAGGCTAAGTTTATGATGTGGGAACAAGAAAAAAAAAAGAATACACTGACCATCTAATCATCTGTTTTTGTAGTTTTGTTCCAATGAAAATCAAACAGTAAGGAAATTGATGACTTTAGTCAATGAGATATCCACACAATTAAATGCCCCAGATGGATTGTTAAGCATGCTACTTTTCAGTGTTCAGTAGTATAGGGGACCTCAGAGATGACCTAGTATAAACTCTTCTTTTTACAGATGACCAAAGTGAAGTCCAGAGAGAGAAACATGACTTTCCTAGGGCTGTATGGCAAGTAAGTAGCAGAGTAAGGGCTCAAATCTTAATTCTTTGATTTCAAATACAATGCTTTTCCCCCACTATACTATGTTGTGCCACAAAGACAATATGGGACTAGAATGGAAAAAGGAATGCAGCCTAGTCAGTAACACTGCTCTGTTTATATCACTTTCTTGCCTTGAGGTAGTACTCTTATGAAGGAACATATTTTCAAGTATAGTAAGTATACTTACTCTGCCCATTTCTCGGAGTTTGGTGAGCATCACAACAATTGTGGAGTTGTGTTCCCACAGCATCCGCCAGAAATCTTCAGTTGTCTCTGCCAAGGGTCCCTGTGTTGCTATGTAAGCTTTTTGTTGCCTACATTTTTTTTAAAAAAAAAAGGAATGATAAAACATGATTAAAACTCAAAAGAACGTGTAAAGGCTCACTCTTTGTATGTAAACATTACTCTGAAACCTGCTTATAATAAAAATGAAAGACATATTAATGGCAAGCACATTAAATTCCTATTAAAATTGTTTAATCAAATAATAGCTGTTTTAATTTTTAGTACTTTGCAAAGAAAATTGCTTTGTTAATATTATGATGTATGTCTTTATCATTATTATTTAAATTTTAATGCAACTCTAATAGCTCAATTTTGTGTGTCATACAAAGCACTTAAGAAACACTTAGTTGTGCTGCTTCGTGTCTAGAAATGACTGTCATACAATCTATTAAGTTTATGAATTATAGTACCAAACGGCTTCTTTATTAATCCCTTTCACAAGCTTCAGCAAAGAGGCAGTGGGAGGCTAGAAGGGAAAATCCATGGTTGCATTCTTCTTAACTTTAGTAAAGTCAATAAAAAAACTGGTCTCTAGAAATGGGATGCTGACCTCAGCAGAAATAATGTGGTGCTGCTACTTCTTTAAATTTATCACAGATCTGAAACTAGGGCACATGCAAATGTCAAAAGCTTCAATGCATCAGGAGAGTAACTGTAAGTACCTGTATCCATCAATAAAGCTGGCATTGATGTAATCAGATCCTTCCACCCCTCGGATTGGCTGCAGGCATACCCTTGTGGATTCATATGGCATAATATTAACAAGGCGATTTTTGAATTTATTACATGGAAGATTGGCACTGATGAATCTCGAAGTGTGAGCTTTAGAGCTAGCTAGACGCTGTTGAAGAGAGAACAAGGAAAATGTGACTAAAACACTTTTTAGCATGTGGTTTGATTGTCATGAACCCAACACTTCATTTTGGAACAGTTAAGCCTTCTTTCTACTTTAGATTACCTATCTTTTCACATGTTTCACTTATATGTTACATTTCACTTATAAGTTACGTTTCACTTATACAGAGATAATGAGTCCCTAAAACCTGCTGATTTTTTTTTAACTATGATGATTCTTAAGCTCTGAGTTCTCAAATTAAAATATGTTGTCAAAAAAAATGATCAACCTATTGTCTGGATGAGTAAATTATGGGTAAATGGAAGTAGAAAAAAATCCCAACAAGTTACATACCTCTCAATACAATATGCGAATTTAAAACTTACATTCTTTTTTGCACATTTCATTCCCTAGCTTTAGAAAGGATGTTTCTAACCACAACTTAAAGGTAATATCAAACAGTTATCCAGGCCTAGCATGTCATGCACAACACCATACCTTAAATTCCAGTTCCATTCCTGTGACATTCTCTCCTGTCTCTATTTGTGTCAGCTTCTGAATATATGCATACAAGTTTCTAGCTGGCACTTCGGTATTTCCACATGTTACTGCTTCTAACAGTGCATCATGGATAAAGATGTATTGGTCCTCCGTTTGAACCATATAATTCCTCTGGGCTCTCATTAAAGTTACGTGACCATAAATGTCTACAGTTTTTTCATGCTTTATTCTTTCTAACATGGCATCTATCACGATGAAACAGCCAGTCCTGCCGACTCCCGCACTGTAAGAGAAGGGAAGATAAAAAGCAAACAAGCTCCTCAATAAAAAAAACTAAGGGACCAGTAGGTAAATGGTGTTTTTTACAAGTAGAATCATGTTGAATTACCTTTGATACCCATTAATTCTACTCAATTATCTATTTAAAAAGCCTCTAAGCTTTTTGTGATCTCAGTGAACTAAGGTCAAAAGCAGTAAAGTGGAATCCAACAGAGCTTTCTGCTATCCACTGACCAGTCTACCCAAGTGTGAAGAGGCCCACCCCAGACGATAAACACTTTTGGCCATGGCAGCCTATGAAAGAATTCATAAATAATGAGTTCTTTGATTGTCCAAAGCCTCTATAGAATACTTTGTTTGACTATTACAAAATCCAAAATACAGACCTTTGTCCATGGCAGTGTTTTTATTTGCAAATTGGGTAAGGAACTTGGGAAACTCTAACCAGGCCCCATTTTGAAAAATAATTCAAGCCATTTTAGTTAAAAAAAAATGCAAACAAATTTTTCAGTGTGAAAGATTTCATGTACTATAAACTTCAAGGAAATAGTTCTAAAAGCTCCATAGTGGGAAAAGGCCTATCTTTGCTTACAATAAAAAGTTTAACATCTTAATTATTGAAATCTGTACAGCCGTAATTAAGATTTAAAATTTTTATCCTATACTAAAAATGAAGGAAAACAATACTTAATAGAAGCAACTTAGGCAATCATGAAAGACTGGGGATACATTTCCTGTTGTTTTCCTCCCCTACGTTTTTGGGAAACATTGCTAAATAGACTACATAATTCCAGGTGAAATTCCAGAGTTCTGAATGATAAATTTAAGTCTTTATTCTTTGTTACTGAAAATGCTCTGGGGAGTTCTTTAAATGCCATTACTGATAATCTGTTAGGTCATTTTCCAGTTGCTGAAAATATATTCAAAGGTGGTTGGGAAAGTCGGCAAAGCACAAAACTAGACAGTATCCCTAGTTCTGAAAAGGCAGATGTCACTGAGCTGGATAATATCGCAGGCGGTTCATACACTGGAAAAACAAATTGCCTTCAGTGATTTGGATGATGAGCAGAAATGTAAGAAAAAACACACTGGTCATTCCATACATTCTATACAGGTAATAATGGCATGCTTCATATTTGTATAACACTCTAGAACTAAGCCAAGAATTTTTAGTTATGCTATAATTCTGCAATGATTACTTATGTTGCATGTGAACCTGTAAATGAATTTCTTTTCTTCCTTCTTTCTTTCTTTTCTTCCTTCCTTCTCTCTTCTTTCCTTCCCTTCTTTCTCTTTTCCTCCCTCCCTCCCTTCCTTTCTCTCTTTCTTTCTTTCTACATATACATATGGTCAGGTATATCTATATTTATAAAACTATATGTAGTTTTGCATCTGAATATATACACACGTATATGTTATATATGTATGTATGTATAAACTTTTTAAAATACTAAGACACTCTACATCCATTTGACAATAATGATAACTTACATTTATAGAATACTTTACAATTGCTAAGCATTTTATATAGATGATTTCACTTGAGAGACAACATGGTATATCAGAAAGCACATTGGACTTAGAGTCAGGAAAACCTGGTTTCAAATCCTGTCTCTGGTATTTCTGGGCAACTCCCTAAATCTCTGTGAATTTCAGTTTCCTCATCAGTAAAATGAAGATAACAACATCTAGTCTTCCTTTTTTTTTTTTTGGTGAGACAATTGGGGTTAAGTGACTTGCCCAGAGTCATACAGCTAATGAGTGTTATGTGTCTGAGGCTGGATTTGAACTCAGATCCTCCTCACTCCAGGGCTGGTGCTCTATCCACTGCACCACCTAGCTGACCCACAGCATCTACCCTTAAAGGTGGTTATAAATATCAAATTAAATGATATATGTAATGTACTTTGTAAGCTTTAAAGCACTAAATAAACATGAAAAAATATATCTTCTTGATAATATTAATAATACTAGACATACTGTACATATCTTCTCATTTTATCTTCCTGATACTTCTTGCCAAAATTTCTCCTTTATTGAAATGCTACATAGTACCATCCAGCTTCTACCTGCTGCTTTGACACTCCTTTGTGGAAGCAGATGAGGTATTTTATTTTCATTTTGCAAATGAGGCAACTGCAACTCAAACTACATGGTGATACTTGAAACCAGGGCTTCTGAGTTTTGCCACCAAACTATATAGATTTCTGTGATTATATAAATTAGAGTAGATAGATAGATAGATAGACTATACAGATTATGTACCTGTTGTTACAGCTTGTACAGATGACTAACACATAAACAGTATTTTGTATAGACTTCTAAATAATCGTCACTCTGAAGGCCCTTCTGGACTGAGTACAACATTCAGATTCAAAGACTGTGATGTGCTCTGAGGTCAAACACTTTAGAATGCGCCAAAATGAGTCAACTAAATGTGCTTGATAAGGCCAAGTTCTATAGGTAACTACCTCATCAGATGTCAACTTCTAGTGCAATACCAAAAAACTCAAGTAATGTTCAATGTCATGTGGCTGAAAAGGGCTGAAAGAACACTACTTATTGGAGTATTTCCTTTACTGAATAAGCCACACAGTGCTAATAAAACTCATTACAACAAATATTTAGTAAGCTCCTGCTAGGTTCTAACAGACAAACAAAAAACGGAAAGAAAAATATCTCCTGCCCTCAAGGAACTTACATTTTAGCATTCACTTGCCCCATTAAAAGACCCATGGTGAATTGTTTGGGAATTTTGCTCAACCGAAACCCTGTCTACTCTTTATTATTTGTCTATATATTGTTGGGAACAATGTCTTAAGCCCCTATCCCATGCAGGATGGGGTATTAAAACTGTCCCTAAGATTATCTTGGCTCAAGGGACTAAGATTCAGGCTACTGACATGGCTTCCTAGTCACCTGAGTACAAAAAGCCATGAGAAGTTACCTATGGGCCCTGATGCTTCACCATAGATAGCCATGGCAACAGAAAGCCAGGGGTATGTCCAGTTACATCAAAATGATGTCCTCTCTGAATATACTTATTGACATACTATGTTATGTGTAAGCAAACATCCTTTTGTTAACTACTAGATATACTACAAATATCACATCATTCCAATCTTGAACCTAAACTACCAGGGGACTGGCCTGACCAAGGTCTTTCCCACAACAATTCTGAATGCTAATTGTGCTGTGAAGGGGAACTTGAATTCTCAAAGGTTATGCCAGCAGATCCAAAGCTCTGAAAGGCCCTGCCAAGCTGGAAAGGTTGTGAGTAACAGATCACAATGAGTCGTCCAAGGACCAGACTAGGGAAGGTCAGAGAAGCTCATTACCAGAAGATGGCCAGCAGGTGATGAATTTTGAACCACGGTAAACACATTAAACCAAATTCTAAGGTAGGGGGGTGCAGCAGCGTGTGTTGATGGAGAGGCTGCCCATAATGATGAAATCACATATGCATGTGTACAGTTGTATTTTTTATTCCTTGTCCAAAGGATTCTCTAAGTACAGATACCAATTGGCTAGAAATTGAGAACTTAATTCCACCACGACCACCAACATTTTCATAAAAGCATCTGGAAATAACCTTCAGGGACCATCTAATATTTGATGTAGTACAGGGCAGCATGTACCTAGCAACAGATTAAAAGGTAATTGGAGACTACTTAACAAAATAAATAAAATACCATAAAACATGTAAAACATGGATAACATTACATTTTAAAACCAAGTCAATATGTAGCCCACAGGAAATTTCATATATTGATTAGTTGCCCCATTTCTAATTTGGTTTGACACTACTGGTATAGGGAACCAAGGACTATTTAGTAACTCAGTACATCTTTCTCAAGGACAGATGGTTTTTTTTTTAAAAGAAAGAAAAATAAGCTATTCGAACAAGATGAACTTTATGACATTAGCATGCTTCTACCCTAAAAGGCAGCAAAGAAAAACTACTTATAAGCCTAAGACTAACAGAAGAATCAATGAAAAGAAAAATCAAATGAGAAAGACTATGAGAATAAGGAAAAACATGTCAATCCGAGGAAACCTGTCGTAGCAATTCTTTGTCTGATCTAGCCCTCTGTCAAGTTTAGACAACGGACTTGCTACTGAAAACTACTTGATGTAAATTGTTTTTATGCCCTAGGCATTGATCTGGGATCTGGTTACTGAGGTAAAAGATATCATACATCTGGAACAGGAAAATGAAACTCAATAATCCCTTTTGCCCATCCATGAAACTCCTACTAGCTGACTGCAGGACCTTGAGCAAGTCACAGATCATCTCTTATTTTTCCTTGTTTTAAAAAGACGTTGGGGGTTGAGAGTCTTAAGGGTTACTAAAGTGCTTCAGAATAGAGGCATCTACGTGGTTCAGTGGATACAGTTCTGGGTCTGGAGTCAGGAAGACCCAGTTATAAAGTTGGCCTCAGCTAATTATTAGCTGTGTGACCCTGGGCAAGTCACTTAACCTCTGTTTGTCTTAATCCACTGGAGAAGGAAATTGCAAACCATTTTGGTATCTTTGCCAAGAAAACCCCATGGACAGTGTGGTCCATGGGGCAACCAAGAGTTGGACAGAACTAAATAACAACAAGAGCTTCAAAAAGCCTGAGAACAAAATATGGCTACTTGGCAGGCATGATGGACTTTCAGATGCTAGGTTTGAAGCTGAAACTCATAATCAGGATTTTTCTTTCAACTGATTTAAGTTCCTCCCAAATAGTAATGTTAAAAAAAAAGGGACTGATAATTATATCATGGGCTTTTCAAATAAAACATCAAAAGCCTATTTTAAAACCTTTTTCACTAACTCACTGACATAAGGAGACCTTTCCTGGCAAAACCCAGAATGGGAAGTCTTTGGTACCGTACCTTTGCCAAACCAAGTCAAAGACAAGGAGATTTCTTGTAATTAGATATGACATAACTAACTGACATTTATGCTTTACCACAATGACAAAGAAGTGGTATTAGTCACACTTATTTGTTAAG